GGTTGAGGGGAGGGGGGGAGGGAGTGGGGATCTTACGGCATTGTTTCCCCGAGGTAGCCCGATACCACTCCTCAAGGTCGCGCCAGACATTCCGGGAAAGCGCGGCATCAGCACTGAGAGTCATTAGCGAGATGCATCCACCCCCAGGCTCCTCCCCCGCCCCCGGGAATTCCCGGATTCGGGAGCAAGGGATGCAGGACCGACGACCGGGGGGAAAGGGGGAGGGCAACCGCAAGTGGACCCCCCGGGCAACCTGGGGAAGACAGTACTAATTACCGGGGGGGGGGGGGGAAATGGCCGCGAATCTCCGCGAGTATCGGTGATAGGCCCTATCAAGGAGTGGCCCCCTCCCCTCCCCACCCCGAGTCACTGATAGACCTTACCTCGCGATCCTTCTCCTACCGTTCTCTTTTTCCTCGCCCAGTTTGGGCGACACCCCCAATCTCCGGCGATGGGTCCCGATAACAACTCGATTAGGGGGTCGTGCACGCGCGGGCGTAAACCCCCCCCCCCCCAGGACTCGCGTGCACGGGTGCGCGACGTCGGCGCTCGATTTATGGGCGGTCGCCCCACCGAAGCGGAAGGTGGAGGAAATAACTCCTTTTTCCGAGATCCAGGAAGCCCGATTGATAGTGCCGCTCCCGCCCGGAAGGGAAGGGGGAGGGGGCGCACCCCCCCAAATCTGTTCCGTGCGAAGGAGAGATCAACGTTTACTCTCGCCAAATAGAGGGTATACGGATATTAAGAAACGAGTACAACCACGTTTATATATATATATATATATGTTGTGCATACAAGCGACGGGGAAGTTCTAAGATCCCACCCCCTCCCCCAGAAGTCCCGAAAACCGCGCCGGTAGTGAGGGGGGGTAGGGGGCAAAATCCGCGGAAAGGAGCAACGCGGTTCACCCGGCCTCTCGTTAACTTCTGAAAGAGGGTTGGTCTTGTGGGCCACAATGGGGGAAACTCGGGAGTCGCCCCCCGCGGTTGGGGGCACGGGGGAGGGGAGGGAAAAGGGCACTCGGGGTGACGGCCGGCCCGGACCGGAAGCTCCGGATCCGGAACAGGGGAGCTCTCGTGTAAACATTCCCGGGAACTTGGCCGTGGGCTCGTCCGGGGCGGATCCCGGCCTGGTTCCCGGGGGCGCGAAAGCCCCCCCCCCGGGAATTCAATCCCCCCAAAGGGGGTGGGGGCCTGTGTCAACGCGGAGTGGACTCGTATGCACATGCGACGCGTACGAATGTAACGTATATCGTGGAGAAAAGAAGAAAAAAAGAAAAAGGAGAAACAGTTTCGAAAATTCCACATTTCCGGGGCGGGTTTCAACTCCACGGTGCACACATTAATTCCATGACGTGTTCGGACTTCCTCGTGAAATTCATACGTACGGTATGGATTTAATACCCGGGCGCGGATGAATCCTTTGGCCGCCGAGATGGCCCGGCGTAAGGGCGAGATTCGCGGGCCCGGTCATGGAATAGTCGACCAAACGTCGGGGGTACAATGCCGGACGTGAATGCCTTCCCGTCATTCATTGGCAACGGAATATCCGTAAGGAAGGCATTCATATGTCCGCCAGTGTACACCACGCGGTCAAAGGGTTGGTTTTCCCGCAGGATCTGGCGCAAAATTGCAAACGCGACGTCGGGTAATTACCTAAAAAAAAAAATTCATGACCAGGGTACAGAGTGTACTTAGAGTGCCGGGATTTCGGAAATACGTTTCACGGTACACACAGATGTCTAGATGCTTCCGTATAGGTGAAAATCTCCACCGGAGGAACGACCAACCCAGGGGGTAGCTCCCCTAACCGGAAGTAACGTCGGCCTCCGCGGTCCCCCCGAAGAGCGTGGGGGTCCCCAGGGACCCAGAGGAGAGGGAAGGAACAAATAGATAAATAAACAAGTCGAAAGGAGCCGATAAACACGGGGTGAAGGGGCGCTGGGGCTCGGAAGTCCTCGAGGACGCGATCCCCCCGACCTGGGGTAATGGGGGACGGGGGTGAGGGCACCACCCCCGGGGAGATACGGACCCCGATAGGGTCTCTCGCCCTGTACCGGAAGTAATGGTTCGGGAGCAGGATGTACGGCTTGGACTTAAGTTATTTATGGGACCGGGACACCTCCCCGTCCCACCCCCAGAGGACCGTGGCGAGTCCTCGTGGTTTTCCACCCCCCTCGATTTTAAAAATCCCCCAACGTGGGAACAATTATGGGGGTGGCGAAAATAAGGGAGGAGGGGCACCTCCACTCTTTGAGGGTTTACACTCTCTCCCCCTCGAGAACAGGGGGAGGCATTTTTGCTTGGGGGTACGGGGGTGTTCACCCTCCGGCCTACCAATAAGGGGGGTTCCAATCGAGCAGCTGCAATTTCATCGCTCGATTTTTCGATCGCGCTTTCTTCGAGGAAAGGGGTCCCTCCATCCTTTGGGGCTCTCCCGTAAGTGCGAGAGAGACCGGGCGATGCGCCGGCGCGGGAGTGCGAGGGCGAGAGGGCGACAGGGCGCAGAGGTGACAGGCGAGATTGGCCGTGACGGATAACGGCGACGTTAATCACGCGTTATCGCGCGCAGCCGGCTGAAAGGGGACGGAATCGAAATAAGGGAGCAACCCCTGTCGCCAGGGGTGATTCCCCCCCGGAATAAAAAGCGAGGTAGAGGAGGGAGAGGGAGGGGGCGAGAAATCCCACTTATCGCGCGACGATTCCGCAGTGGGTGGAAACAAATCGCCCCCGAGACCTCGATGGGGGGCGCCCCCCACGGGAGATGGAAACGTTAAAAAAGAATGGAAGGAAATTCTAAAAAGGACAATTTTAACCTCCCCCCTCCCCCAAGAGAGGCGGAAAAGTCTCCAGGAAAAAGTTTCGCGGGACACTCTCTTTCCAATTCCGTAATGGCCGCGGCGACGGGCAGTTCCCGAGGGATCGCGTTTCTCCCCCCGCCGATCGACGTCACGGCCGGACGTCCGAAAATTGGAAGATGTGGAGGAATCGGAGGAAAAGGGTGGAAAACTCCGGGAAAATTCCCAGAGTTTTCCCCTCTTACCGGGTAACAATTTCACGGAGGACGGCTCCCTCGTCCCCGAGGTCCCTCCTGGAGGACTATGGGTGACGTCTGGAGAGATAAAAAAAAGGAAATAAGAAATGAGGGGAAAGGGAAAAACCCCTTTACGAGGGTGGCTTCCGCCATGATTTACGCGGTCCGATTGCGGGAGGGGATTTAACGATTCCGCGTCCCTGTAAACGTCCCGGTGGAAAGGAAGGACGCTTAGGGGGATCCCTTGAGATAGGGACACCCTTCCTATCGCCCCCTCTCAACCTCTCCAAATATTCTGATAACGCAACGACCCGTTATCACTCAACCTACATATCGACCCGAAAGGGTTCCTCTCCCTCGGGAACTGGCGTCCCGAATTCCCGAAGGGGGCGGGTGCTCCTTCCGCACGAGCGACCGTCTGCATTCCGCCGCGGATATTTCGCGGGATTCCCGGCGTGAAAAAAGGAGGAAAAGGGGGAAACAAAGGATATGAAAAACGAGTCCCGAGTCGGATTCCGCATCCCTAGGGACGGCTGGGAAGGGGTGTGGAAAAATTATCAGGCCACGTGGTTATCACTCGCCGTCGCGGATCGCGCGCCCGTCCCGGCCGCGCATTAATTCCGCGCCGGATCGCGCGCGCGGAGCCCCGCGTGCGGGAACCGTCGCGGTTTCCGCCCCCGGGCCGCATCGACCACCCTGCACCCCCGGCGGAAACATTAATCGTTCCGCGCCTCGCGAGTCCAACAGTTTACTTATGAGACAAATTTCGTGACGGATGATAATGCCCGGAAAAAAAAAAAATCGCGACCATTTGAGAAATTGAAAAAACTTCTATTGCAACAAATTTTTATCGCGTAAAAAAAATCACGAACCTTTCAAGAATATCAACAATTTCCACCAGAATACCAGTTTTCGCAACATGTAAACATTGATTTACCATTAAAAAAAAAAACCACAGATGCGACTAAAAAATTCCCCACGTCAAGGTTAGTCACCCTCGAGGAGGGGTGAGAATCTCCAGTATATAGGTACAGGAACCCCTCGAGGGAGATCCCGGAAAAATTCCGGGACCCGGGAATATACATCAAGGGAGCTCCGCGGCGGAAGTGGGGGACTCGCCCCCCGTAGCACCCCCGAAGAAAGAAGCGCCGGGGGTGGATAACACAAAGGGGTACGTAGGAGGATCCGATCGAGTCGCCAATTCCGCCCGATCTCGCCTTTCTTCCGGGCTGCGAAACGATCTCACCCCTTCGGGGTGGGGGGAGGGAACCACCCCCGGAAGCACTCGATCGCGTGACTACCACTCGGGACTCTTCCGATCGGACTCGTTCCCCGTTTCCGGCATTTCGGACACGAGCGGATCCACTCGGGATAGGAATTTTCATTTCGCGGATAGGGCCGTTCCCCTTTATCTCTTTCCCGCCCCATCCGGCAATATCGCGGATCCTCCACGCAAATTGCGAGCAACTTCCGGTTACGCAGGGCCGTAAAGCGCGATACATTGGGCTATTTTATACGCGCAAAGGGCATAAAACCCCCCAGGATAGCAATAACCACCGACGAATTGCGCCCCCCCGCGAGGCTCGTCTTGCCACCCCCGATAAGGGGGAGAGAAATTGAAAGAAAAAAAAATACATATATACATGTATATAACAACGTAGAGATTTTCACCACGCCTTGCAGCGCGCTCGTAAAAAAAAAAGAGTCCAAGTAAGAAAATAGGAATTTCAATTATTTTACATGGGATTTACCCTGTTAAGGGTGACATTACTTCTAATTACAAAATATCAGTAACACTTTCTTGTTAGAGGGTTATCATTGCGGGGTTCAGGGGCAAAAAGGTCGAGATACTTGACGTATATATGTACGTATTTATACATGTATACAGGGGGGTGTCTGGAACGGCGAGTGGGGATGATTTTTTAATCCCCTTTCCGAGGGGCTAAAAAGATAATGAAAAAACCTACCTCGGGTGCAGGGCGCAGGGGGGGCGGCTCGCAGGGCCAGGTGAGTGTCGACGCGCAGGTTCATGTCTCCTGGAGTGGTCCTGGCGAGGGTGGAAGCAGTGCAGGTGGAGGTGGGGGTGGCAGGGATGAGAGTAGATCCCCGGGCCAAGTGGAGGCCCTGGGGGGTGGCGGTGTCGTGGTGGATGCTCGCTGAAAATAGAGAAATCAACGTTACATGAAACAGCCCTCGAATGTTCTTTACCGAAAAATAAAGAAACATAAATAAACAAGATAGATAATGGACAAAGTACAGGAAATACGTGAACGCGGAATGGGTGCCCTCCTTACCGACGACAGGAACTTGGCCGTCAGTCGAGTAGTTTATTATTCTTTTTATCCGCGTTACGAGACGATAAAATATTGAAAATTGATAAAACGTGATGAAAGTGCAGGTGAGAGGTGCAGGTAATTATTGCACGTTATTTTTCATATCATTGTCCGCTGACTGGACGACGGTCGGTATCGGGGATAGGAGGCAAGGTAGGACTTTGACTTTAGCAACCACAGATTCAATGATTTCCCCCCAGGTCGGTAAAAGCGAGCTCCCACTTGGCCGACCCTCGTCGGCCACTGATAAGGGAAGCTTCCTACGATATCAGCGGGCTGAATTGACGAAACGCTTCGTTTCTCCCGCGAGGAAGGGTGCGCCACTCCCAGAAGTGAGCCATGCAACCCCTGCATGAAAAAACACCCCTTATCACCGTTATCAGTGAGACAAATACTCGCAGAGAGGATTCGGCAAAAATTCCGTATATCTATTTCTTACACCCCGAGTCTTCGTATCGCGTCTCTACAGCCGCGTCTTATCATCGCTCCCTCTCGACCCCATAAAAAAAACTTTCCCACAGAAGGGGTCCCTTATCAGTGCCCCCGTATCTTATCACAACGAAACCGAGGCAGGTTTGTAGAGATTACAGGAAGACACGACTCGTGGAAACCCCCCTCCTACCTGGCGTAATCACTGCCCCGGAGTTCCAGACCCCCCTTATCACCCGCCCCCCCCCCCCAGGTGCATCGAATTAATCCCAGCAAAACCAGCCAGGAGTTCAGGGGGGTCCAGGGGGTCCAGGCCAACGTCCCAGGTGTAACGCTAACCCAAATCCACCGAAAGTGTCCCCTCGCCCTTCTGGATTTTTATTTCCCCTCCCTGAGAGGTTCCCCACCCAAGTTAAGATGGCAAGGGGGGGCAGGAGGGGAACCGGTTTCTCGTCCCTGCGAAACACAATAAATTTCACCTGTCGGTTAATTGCGCAACCAGGTGAGGTCCGCGCGTCACTTCCGTTATCAAGCACTTCCGGTGCTCCGCGGAAAAATTCGGGGAGCCAAGTAAAAACAGGGGGGACTGACCCCGATGGGAACCGCATAGCCCAAAATCCCAAAATTCCAAAATTCAGGGTGAACCTCCTAATTTACAGATCCACCCCAAAAATCCCTATCACCCATTTCATCCCAAACCAACACGTGCCCCCCTTGCATCTCCACATTATGGGGGGAGGACCAGGGGGCTGAGAAACCGTATCAACAGCTGTGCCCCGTAAAGGGACGTTGCACGATAATCGCAATAATTGCGATAATTGCGGAAGTTAGAGCCGAGTCATTCGGGATAACGGAAAAGCCTCTCCCCCTGGGGGGTGTACCAACCCCCCTCGGGGGAGGGGGACAGGGGAACTCATTATCAGGTGCAGCGCGCTGCACACCTGCCGGCTTGTAAATGACCTTCTCTCCGTTGCAGGGTCGGTTGGAAAATTTGTTCGGGGGCTTTTTCTTTTTTTTTTTTTTCCTGCTTCATTTTTTGCTCCCTTTCCTTCGCACTTAACTCTCGCCACATCGGAAAGGGTCCCGCGGGTAAACAGGGAAACGGGAAAGCCGGAAAACTCTCGGCGGGCAACTAACTACAACTAATTGCCGCGACGAGTGCGCCGCGGTATTTATCGGCGGAACGGCCGCAGCGGATTTTTTAACGAATCTCGCGCCCCCGCGTCCGCTAATTGGACGGGCGTTTTTCTATTTTCCTTTTTTTTTTTTTCTCGCAGAAATCACGTTTCCGCCGGTGATTCGCGAGTCCCCTGTGCAAATTCGGAACCCCGGTTAGAGAGAGGAGGAGACAGGGGGGGTTCCCGAAGAATGGCGACACGTCCAGGAGATCCTAAAAATGTCAGGCCAAAGGGTGGAGGGAATTTCCGTGAGACTCGTCCATGTGCCACACGTGCAGTGCACCGGAATGCGGTCCCGAGGGAAGAAGTCGTCCCCAGGGATTCGAGGAACGGGCTTTCCGGGAAAAGGCATCCTCGAGAAATATCCAGGAAAATGGAAAACTTGGAGAAGTGGGAGAAAGAAACGTCGGGAGCGGTCGAGTCTCGTTCTCATTTTCGTGTTTTATTTTCCCGATGACATCCCGCGGGAGGAACGTCTTCCCGGATTATACCGGGACTCCCGCGAAATCCCGGTGCATGGATAAATAAGCGGCTTATGTGACAAAGAGGCACTTATTAAGGCTCATCCCCTCTTTAAACTCCGGATTCGGGATGCGAGACGGGGCGATTCCCGCGGGATTGGGACTAGTCCTGGAAATCGGGATTCGAGATACCGCGAAAAAGGGAATGCAATGACTGAAGGAAGTGTGGAAAAAAAAATAAAAGGCAGTTAGGCGAGTAAACTTGCATATGTGTACATATATTTATATAGTTGTGCATACATTGCGCAGGTGCACGCAGGTGCACGTAAGCGACACACATTCCCGGCGTTCCTGTTCCCGAAAAACGGGGACACGTCTTGATGCGTCATTTTAATCAGGACGTCCTCCTCTCCCTAAGGAGTCTTCGCGTCCCTTAATGGCGCTCCTGTTAACGCATCGTTTTAATTAAACTCCCCCTCCCCGACCGCATCCCAAATTTCTCACGTCATATCCTTCATCTCTGTGATACGGAATCCTTCACCTTCATCTCCGGAGATGCAACTTTTATATCCCGAACAATTCCAAACTCATCTCGGGTGAGCGCTCGAAAAACCGAGACCGGCTTTAAAAATTCCTCATTTTAGAAAACATGGAAAGCGAGGAAAATGGGGCGGAAAAATTCGCGATAACGTGGAGCGGATCGCCTGAAATTCGCCCTTAAGAGGCAGTTCCTCGAGGTGCACGTCGTGCATATTGCAGGCGTGGAGTATATGCACCCCGTGCACGAGGGTTAATATCGATCGGGGCAGCTCTCGTAAAACGCGAGGTGCTCCACAAAACGGGGGAGTAATCGTTGGAAAAGGACGACGATCGTTTCCGGTGTCACCGGGGGGGTCAACTTCCGGTCGTGCCCCCGAAATTATTCAACGGGGAGTGCCTTCATTCCGGTGGATTATTTATCGGGCGCTAAATAGATCCCCGGGAATTTTTTATCGGCTACTAAACAGCTCCCTGAAGATTACACGGGCACCAAATTTTTTTATCAGATAATAAATAGGTCCCGTGAATTTTTTATCAGACTCCAAACAAGTCCCCGGGAATTTCAGGGGAGATAAGGGAGAGTCGAGACAGGGCTTCTAGGAGATGTAAAGTTCCCCCGGGACGAAGGGACGCATCCGGTCGCCATTGTTTCCTACGGGAATCCTGCAGTCTCCAGGACCCCAAGACCACGTGTTTCACGTGTTCCCCAGGGTTCCTCGGGACTCCTGGGGCATCTCGCTGTCCCCAGTCCTTCCCAATCCCGGAAGTCGGGCGACCTCAGCTTTGAGGAGGGGACCCCCTTCCCTTGAGAAGCCATATTTCCCGGTCGTAATTTTAATCCCGAGCCTCGTTAAAGTCACGTTCCCCGAGCCCCCTCTAAACCCCGTAATTTTTCCACCCCCCGAACAACCAACCCCGAGAAGCATCCTCCTCGCGTCGCGACGCTGGCCTTCCGGCGCCTGCCCAGCACGCTCCTCTCGAGATATCGAGAAACGCTTCGTACAAAAGTTGCTCCCCCCTTCCCGTCGGACAACTTTCGTAGGAAACTTTTTACCCCCCGACCCCCCAGTTTTTCGGTACATCGTAAACTCCTGCCTCGTACACGGCCAGGCTGCGCCGAGGAAGGCGACTACCCTGGGGAGAGTTCGGCCGGGGTGCGACGACCCCTTTTCCCCACTATACATATATAAAAATATATAATACATGTACCTACATACATACCCATCTACATATACACAGCAAGCAAGACATCCCCGGGTAAAGTATTAGACTCCTGGGGGGTTCCATCCGCGAAATCGAACGGATATTCCTCAAGCTCTCGACGTTGATACGAGGTCCACGGATAAGGACGAATCCTCCCGGGATCTACCCTCTCCCGTGGGAAGCTTCCAGCATGGGGAGGGGGGAGGCAAACTTCCCGGAGGAACGGCCTCGCCAAATCGAGTTCGATTGCAGCTCCGAATAAATCAGTCGCACACATACCACATAGGCGGCCATAATATTTCCTACATATCTATATCCGGGAAAAAGTATCCCTCGGGATCGCTCCAGACGGGTTCCCGCGAAGTTCCCCTCACCTCGAAGATAAATCCCCATCCGGAATCTCCCGCCGCCTCGATTTTTCCTCTCTCGCCCTTTCTCCTCGTAACGAAGTGAATGAGTGGGTGGAAAAGTGCAACCCGTTGGGGGGTTGATAAGGAGAGCCCCCCTTCCTGAGAAAGGTGCCATCCCTTCTGCCGCGAGTAATCGATCCGAGGCTCCTTATCCCTCCTGGGTAAAGGGGGGACTCCACCTCAAGTTCTCAGCCATCCCGAGGGCGGGGGGGGGGGACTAACGATAAAATGATTCCGACTCGCCCTCCTACATATTTATGGCCGATAATGGGGACCGGGGGGAGGACCTACCCCGACCTGCCCCACCGTGCAAACGAGGCGCATCCGACCAGAGGCGAGAACCAGGCCCGATTAAAAGGAGCCCCGGGGGCGAACTCCCTCCCCGTCCCGGAAAAGTCGACGATAATGAACCCGGCCCCCTCGCCGCGCAAATTGCGAGCCCTTGATGGCAAAAAAAGAACAGAGAGAAAAAAAAAAGATAAAAATAAAAAGATAGAAAAATCCGATCCGGATTTTTCCATTTTCCCTCTCTCTTTTTTTTTTTCCCCCTCCGAAAGTTTTGAGAGCGTCATGAAGGACGACCTGAAGGGAACAAGAGAAAG